AGCATCTGCTGATGATTTTATTCTCTCCCTCATCTCAGTGTGCGATAAAATGCTTCTTAAAATCGTAGATAAATCACTTAAGTAACATCTAAAAACTTGATTTTGATGCTAAAATATCAATTCCATAAACACATACTTTATTTGATGCAACTGAATGGAAAAACGGAAGCACATACTTACGCTGTAAATTTGTATCACCAACAGCACTTGCTTTTATTATATCATTACTAATATGTTCTATGAATAATCCTATTTAGTTTTATCTTATTCATTAATTTATGTGTAAAATCCATGAAATAAAATGATCGATGAAAAGAGAAGCAGTAACCTACTTTTTGTTTGATTTGTATTTTGTAGATCAATTGATAAAGGTTGAGTAGATAATGATTGATCAACTTTCGTTGATGAACTTGATGATGAACGTTCTTGCTGTTTTATTTCTATTAAATTTGATGTCGATTTTGATATAGATAGTGGCATTGGGTTTGATAAAGTAATATCGTCTGCTTTTGGTGGAGTAACGCTGATTTCAGGTATGGAATCTCTTTGACGCGGTGGGCTATGAGCTGCTTGGCGATTACTTTTGGGTAAAATAGTTCTAACAGAATCACCATCCAGATTTGAATGGGATATATCAAGCTAAATAAATATAACTGTAAAACTAGACACGACAAACTAGAGTTTATTCATACGTCAGGTGGTGAATCAAAGCAACCATAAGCACCAGGTGAAAAATGCAATTCAACATGAAACTAAAAATACTCTCACATACTCAATAACAATTAATTTTCTCTAGTAATTGAATTTACTCGACGTTCTGATGATAATTCTTCTGACGGATCTTCAAATAGCATGATTACAATTTGAGTTAAATAATTTAACTCTGAAACAGTATCAAGATAATCCATTGAGCGCTTCCATTGTTCATCAGTAGATGACTAAAATGATAATAATAAATTAAGAATAGCGTTTTGTTATGAAAAGGCTTACATCAATTAAACCACCATAACGTATTATTGTCAATAACGCATGAACATGACTTTCACTTGTAAAATATAATCGAGTTCTAACATGACGA